TGGTTAATATTGTTTTATTCTATTTAAATTCACAGAAGCAACGGATGAAATTTCCTCAGAAATTTCCCTTTGCTTCACCATGAAATGTTTGAATTATTGCAGCACGGTCACTCTAAAGTACCTCTTTTTCTACTGAAATGGTGTATAGAGTAACGAGAGAATATGCTAAACGAATAAATTAATATCGTTTCTTAAGTTGTACGTATGTCAGCTGTTGTATAATTTAGCCTACATTCATTCCTTGGAACTTACCACATTCACCAAAATCTTATTCAGGATAGCATGGGACATCTCAAAATGGACAGCTGTCTTTCCTGTTGGTGAATCTTGTAATGTCACAAGGTCGACCCACCTTTGTACCTGAATGATAGTGGATGAAGGTCAAGCACAAACAACTTGGCTTCATGGTTATTATTATTTTGTTTTTAAAGCAGGATTTTGACTAAGATTTGGTTTAGATTCTGTAGAATTTGATTTTCACATAACTAGTTTGTGAAGAATTGGATATTTTAACATAAAGTTAACATTAGGGCTTTATTTTATTTTTACACAGGGGTTGTTTTGACTTTCAGTTTCTTTCTTTTTCATATTAGGGAGGCGAAAAGCTAGTACTGAATTGGTGAGAGAGAAATATGTGAAGAGAAAACAAACTACAAACATTTGCCCTTTATTTCATTGTGTTGTTTTTGTGATTAAATTAGTTTTGTCTATTAAAGATTGTAGTAAAATTGCGTTTTCGTGTCTCCTCTTTGTTTGTGAAAAACCCAATCAGAGTGAATAAAGTAACAGACCGATACTCTGTAATATTTATCAAACCTCCTGTTAGCGATCCCTAACTAACTGCTCTGTGGGAAATCTATGTACTCTAATATACCATAGAGTCTATAGTTAAAGAAACTATTCAATCATATTTTGACACGTTTCTTATTATTAAAGATGGTCAACGTGCATTTAGAAAGGCAAGATCAGGTTTTAACTTTCTTTGAAAATGTTAAATCTAATATGGAAATGAGAAATGCAGTGCATTTAGTGTACTTGAACTTCCAGATACTTTTGAAAAATTTATAACATAAGAGACTTCTTAAGAAGATTGCATCAGTTAAGGCAAGTGATAAGCCAGTTGAATTAATTGAGAATTTTGTTTGTATTTGATAGAAGGTTGTTGTAAGTGGGTATCTCAGAGGTGCAAAATCCTTTATTTCACATTTTTAATATATATATATGTCAAGACAATGGATTATCTAGAAAATTGGTTGAATTTGTAGATAATTTTAACTAATTGGATATTTCAAATTATAATAAAAGTAAAGTAGTTTTGTCGAGAGAATTGGAGTATTTGGTGAGCTGGGCTAACACCTGACAGATACCTTTTCAATAAAAGAAAGGTTATGCTTGTTAGTTGTCACAACATTAATTATTTCATAGACTGCTGTGATGAAATTTGGTGAGAATAGAGATCTGGGCAAAGCGATTACAAAGTATCTAAATATTTCTATATAACTTATGTTAGCAAATAACAAGGTAAACAAGATTTCAGGTTGTATATATACAAGTATTGAGTAAAAGTAAAAAAACGTCATCAATTTACTGTTTAAGGCAACAGTTTGAAATATTTAGAATATTTTGTTCAGTTTGATCATCTTCTTTAAGAAAGAATGTTAAGTTGTGGGAGAACATTCAGAGAAGAGCTTTTAGATTTCAATATTTTCTTTCTCTTCTATTTTTGCATTATAAGTATTAGCAATATTTCTGACCCTGAGCATTTTATGGAAAATAGTGGAATTGACCTAAATCATGTCATAGATATTAATCCATTGGTGGTATGGATAAAGATTGAAATACTATAAATAGTTAAAGCTCCAGAACAAGATAAAATTTTCTCCAGAGTTATAAAAGAGGTCGTATTTCAGATGTACGAAACTCTTTTTTAAATTTTAGTAGATCAATAGATAGTAAACAGGGGTATTATTTTCAGGGAAGTGATTTCTCTATAAATATCAAATAATTAGATTAGCTAATAATGGAAGATTCGATGAGGACATTTTTGGAGTAGTTTGTATTTGAAAACTTGACTGAGTTTTCTTGTGCGAGAAAAAACGAGATTGGAGAAATTTAGTGAAATGAACACAATCTGTATTATCAACAAACAAAAATAAAACACAATGTACTACTTGTGCAAATGAAAACAAAAACAGTTGACAGAGTTCCATAGAACTAAACACGTTGATTTTCAGATTGAACTGAACATGTAGATCTCCATATAAAACTGAACTAAGAAAGTGTGTTGAATTCAATAGGTAAACTCGGTTTCTGTGTCTAGTGAACATCATCAGTTCATGACCATTTGTGTCTCACAGCATTAATCAGTTGTAACATACAGACCTTGTCCATTCAGCCAGAAATGAAAATTACAGTCACTAATCCTTTCAATACAGAAACTATATTACTGTAATATCCTTTTGGGCAGAATAGACATTATATACCATAGGGAGCAAAAAAAAAACAACAAGGCATCCTCAATGGCTTTCTGGATTGTGTGTTTATGCTAAAACTGCATAGATACTAAATAACTATAACAGGTGGATGAAAATTGAAAAGTTTGTACAATATTTTAAGAACGTGAAAAGAGTTGCCCTGGAGATTATAAGCCAATTAGTCTTACTTCTGTAGTAGGAAATCTCAAGAGAGTTTCATAAAAGGTGCTATACAAAATCATTTTATGAAATGTGATATCTTAACCGAAAACCATCTTGGTTTCACGAAAGAGAAAGCTTCCTTTACTAATCTGTTACATTTCTTTGAGATGTAACTTATTATCTTGACGATGGAATTGGTGTGAATTTCGTGTATTTATATTATCTAAAATTTTTTTATTAGGTGTCAATATAAGATTATTCAAAGGAAATCACATTGGAAGAGGTTGGGGAAAGATTAGCTAATTGGATTGTAGGGTGGTTGAATGAGCAAACACAAAATATTGTTATTAATAGAGCTCAGGCAAGCCAGACACTGGACCCTATTAAATTAATGATTGTCTCAGGAGTTGGTGCTTTGGCCTTTAGTTTTTTTATTTGCATTAACGATATTGATAGAGACATAATTAGAAAATTAATCAAGTTTGCTGATGACATTAAACAGTTGGGTATTTGTAGTTGCACTCAGGACATTAATGCACTTAAGAATGATTTTGATCAATTGGTTTTTGAAATAAATATTATATTAAGTGAAAGGTAACATATTGCAGGAGCGGATCCATGATTTGTAAGATAGGGAATCGAAATGAATGGATATTGGAGAGTCTGAGAAGGAGCTAGCTCCACTCTAAAAAGCTGAAGAATTTTTGAAATTTGAAAACCTTTGTCCAATTTAATGACATTTTCCATTATATTTTCTAGTTAACCCTAATGGCAAATTTGCAGTAAGAAATCTGAAAGACCAACAGTCGCTGTTACCAATGAGAACATTTTTCCTTTCACTTGTGGAACTGATTATTAGAATCAGAATCTGGAAGTAATCCCAAGATCAAGTTCTATCAAGCACTGTTCACTGATAGGTTAGAGAGAGTAATGTAATTTTTGATAGTCATACTCATAAAAAAGACTCCTTCAGAGACCTGTAGTGGGTTGTAAATAGATCATGATATTTTGGAAGGATCCTTTACAACTATCTTCAACATTTTAAACGTTACATACTTGTAAAACGTATTGAATTTAGGGTATTCACTGGTAATCATCCTCCTCTATGACAATAAGTCTTGCTCTTTTTTTTAACTTTCCGTTTTGATGGGAGATGGTTCAATTTCGATCCCTCAGCAACTAGTTTCGCTTCATTTAAAATCTGTGGCCACTTCCCACGTAGATCTTCAAGATCAGTCAAGAGCGAATCTAGATTTGAGACCTCTACATCCACTGTAGCATCTCTTGCCTGGATGAGCTGATTTCTTCTGTCGATCTGTACGAGAATCTTCAGCCACATCAATGACATAAGGATGCAAATAAAGGATGATACGTATTTGATTACACTATTGTCTTCATTAATGGTTTTTGGCGTGAGGTTGAGAGACAGAAGTTTCTTTAGCGCTAGTCGTATTTCAGCAAGATGAGCTGCAAATGGTCTCACACTTGCCACTCGGTCTGTCCAACGAGTACCTGGCAAAGTGTAGATGGATTCGCCCACATGCTTCTTGAGAATAGCCCAGCGCTGAGGACTGGAAGAAAACTAATTGTAAACTGTTTGCACTACTCCAAAAAAATTTAACTTCCTCCATGCAACATGATGCAGAATCTACTCCACATAAGTTCAGTGAATGGCAGACACATGGAGAATAAATGCACAGTGGATTAACAGCAAGTATGTGCTGTTGGGTACCATTGTACTTGCCAGACATGTTGGGAGCATTATCATAACCCTGTCCACGACAATCTTTAATAGGTATCCCAAAATGCTTGAGTGTTTCCATAATCAGGCTTGCTAATTCAACCCCCGTCTTCTTACAACAATCAACAAAGATTAAAAATCGTTCTTGAACTGCAAATTCGGTATCATCCTTGGCCATATAACGAATGATGAACGTTGTCTGCTCCACATGGCTAGAATCCGGTGTTGCATCAACCATGATTGAATAATATTTGTGGCTCTTATTTCATCAAAAATGTGACTCTGAACATAATCTGTGCAGTTACTGATGAATTCAATTTGAGATGACCCTAAGAGATAGTGAACTTGAAGCCGTTCACCTTTTTCTTGCAAAGCTCGTATCTTTGCAAGATGTTCGGCTAGAACTGGATTGTAATTGGCCTGGAGTTCAATGATCCCCAAGAAGTGCCCATTATGAATGTCGCCAATTCGCTGGGATAAGCCACAGAAAGCAAGTCCTCTTTGGACAAGAAAAATTACTACATCAATTATCCTCTTAAGTATATTTCGCCATTTCTCAGTCTCGCTCATGATTACTTTGTGAGACATTACATCAATCCCAGTATCACTTTCTAGCCTCCTCTCCAACTCACGCCATGCTAGATAACAGTTCTTGTGTGCTGTACTGTTTTCGTGTTGAGGCAACCTGTCAAACAGCTTTTTCCATTTCTGTTCTGTACCCCAGCCTTGTTTGGATGCCATGATCAACTGTGAACTTTGCAGTTGTGAGCCCACTGTATGAGTGAAAAGCCTACAAGGCAGGCAATACAAGGACTGTTTTCCAGGACTGAATACAAGCCATCATCTGCTCTAGCTTTCGTCATTTGGTGTTCTAACTTTGAGAACAGACATTGGAAATTTTCGTCCGGCTAAATCATTAGGGAAATCTTTTGGGTGTGGCAGAGGCCCTTTCCTTCTATATATTCTTTAGTTGGGATGTCTGATGGACAAAGTCCAATATCAACCACATATGTTTTAGGCTTGTTTTCTGTTGAATGCTGGCTCTTTTGGCCTTCTTGGGCCGTCTCTACACATGCTTCTGTTTGTGTTTCTGGGCTTTCTGGCCTAGCTGGCAGTTCATGTTGATCTTCTATGTCAAGCCTACTGTCATAATCATAATCTACAGTGGTGCTGGTATTAACTGAGCTTGCTGAGGTAAGCCTATGTACTGGATCTGTATGCTGCTGATCGTGCTGGAAGCCGACCTCAAATAACTTCCGACAATCCCTGATCACTTCCTTCTCCCTTTCTCGCCGAGCCTCCCGTTCACGCTTCTTTTGTGCGCCGGGTTTGTGCTGGTAAGATGACATGACGGAAATTCTGGAAGGAATGATAAAAATTTTAACATCTAAGACCAAAAACCCACTTAATATTTCAGTGGGTTTATGGTTGGATTTTTGGACAAAATATCTGGGATAAAAACGCTCCACATTTCTGAATTTTTACTTCTCCTGTTCATGATTTCTGACTATCTGTGAGAGTGCTTTGTTAGTACATAGATTATAGGTACTTATGTATTTTTCCTTTTAATACACAAACCATTAGCTATTACACTGCTAAAGCATTTATTATAACTTAATAACACACGTATCTATTCTAAGGACGTATAAAGTAAATAAAATAACATGTTATGCAAAAAATTAATACTTGGGTTTTTGGGTTTGGGTTGTTGGGTGCTAATCCTGATGTTTTTCAGATATAAACTTTTATAATAATTCAATATTTCATCATTAAAAAAAATATAAATCACCAGGAATTATTTTTTGTGATTATTTGTAAAGAAAATGACGAAGTATGCTGAGAAATCTTCAACTAATATTCAATAGTAATTCTATTGTAAAAATCTGGAAAAAACATATTTTTAGAGAATCTACAAAAAAGTTTAGCTATACCATATCATTTATGCCTTATCAATTCTGTTATATGTTACGAAACTAAATATATTTTTCTACTATTTTTATTTTACATATTAAATTTTTGTTTACATATTTTAATTTAAAAAATTCTGTTTTGCCTCAATTTAATCGACATCCATTTATTATTAACGATTTGGAAGAGTCACGAATCAACTGGAGATGAAAATGAGTAATTTACAAATTTCAGTTAGGTCAGGCTAAGTTAAGATAAGTACAAAGTTCTGTTGTTTTAGTTGCGCTTAATTTAAATTAAAACTTTAATATCGATACAGTTAATAAGATACTGAAAATAAGATATTGATAACAATAAGATACTGCATTATTTAACAAAAAACAAATCATTCTTTTGATATGAAGTTTAACCTTGACACTTAGCTTAATATGGATGTAATACTAGGCCTAAGCGGCAAAGCGTAAGCCGGTAGGCTGATCGGAAAAGTTAAAACCTTGGCTTTAAAGTATTTAGGCCATTTGCAACATTAAAAGAATGCTACATTGCTACTAAGGAACTAACCTAATATATATGTAACTAAGAACAATCGATGATTAAACAATTACTTACATTTATTTGCATTGAACACTATAAACACCGAAATATGTAGCGATTGGGCTCTGGTGCATGGCGTCCCAGATTGCACAAATGCAAATTACACGAGGTTTAGCAGGAAGGAGGCCGCCTTGTTCTAAATTTAGAATAATTAGCAGTTGGCGGAAGTATTGCTGGAATTTTGGAGGTGCGCTGGAAAGCGCTCGCAGCGCACAAATCTCTCTTTAGTGAGAAATTTTTGTCTTTGATTTTAAGTAAAAAATTATTGTTTTTACTGTCATTTACATTAGCATTACCAGTAGTTTTGAATGTTCTATTGTTATAACTATGTTTGAAGGAAATTCCTTTATTCAGTCCAAAGTTATGCTATTTTCCATTTTGAACTTGGCTTGGCTTGTAGACTAATTTCGCATCAGTTTTTCTGGCCTATGGATTCTTAGCTTAAGGGTAGGCTTTTTGCGCTAAGCTACAAGGGACTACTGTATTTGAGCATATTGTCATCCCTAATTTTGAACTAAAAGAGTAGAGGGAAACATCTTGTATGCAGCATTCACCGCAAACTCGTGAGGAATTTCTGTCAGTGTTTACTTGCAAGGCTTAATTTCTTATTTAGGAATAATTTGCAAGCGTAATAATACACACATTTGCTTGTAGTGCTATAGACAAGCCGTGCACTTTTCATATTTCTTACCATTAGACTTAGACGATAAAAATGATGTTCATGCAAACTTTTAAAATAACTTCTGTTGTGATCTTGATACTCACATGTTAATTCGCTCGTGTCTCCAATATTTTCGTGTTTATTTATTATGTAATATACAATAACTTTGTCGGTAATTATATATATTGTTACGTCTCCGTTTGTTAATTGATTTTCCGTAATTTCGTTCCGACGAAACTTTAGCGACACAAGTCCTTACTTAATAAAACTGGTTTATTCTTTCCTAATACAACTTTACGATACACTTATTTTCAACAGTCGCTCTATAACAAACGCTATATCAACGAATGTCAACAATACTTCTGACTGCAGTTGAATTACTAACTATCTACACACACATTATTGTCCCGTCACGTTGTCACCCTCTTATATATACAAGACTACCCTATAGCTGGTAATCTCCCGACAATTCACGAAGGTACAATATATTTCCAGAAAGCAGGGGGCGTGACACTAGTCACGTGACCTCGCTGACGCAACAATATCTAGCCATAAAGCAATATCCTGTGAGTAGTTAATAGCTGGATATGAATAATTTTCAATTGCAACTTGTATTAGGATTGGATCATTACTGCTACTTGAGGCTGCATTTATTTGATCATCACAAACGTCACCCTCATCTTCTTCGTGGATTGTTTTCTCAAATGAGCTAATTCCTTCATATTGTTACGTTTTCGTTCGTTAGTTAATTTTCCGTAAATTCGTTCCGACGAAACTTTTAGC